AAGAATAGCGGTCCATTTATTAAGAAGGGGGAATCAGCTGAGTTATTGGATTTAAACAAAGCTGGGTTACCCAATTGAGCCATCTGGAATTTAGGTTATCGAATTCTTAACCACTCAAGACTGAGCAAACAACCTCGTTACTAAAACTACTTAACAGCCTGTCGCCGGTTCAATCACGCACCAGTAAAAATCGGTAGTAAACATCGCGCACGTCACTTAAACGTGTTTAAATAAGCGAAGTGAACCGCGACGCGCCGACCCATTTTCATTACACTTTCACAGATTTGGGGCAAGGAAACTTACTGACTCGCGACCCTACGAATGAGTCGACGATACGAGACAGGAAATGATGTAGGCCGACTTTGTTCGATGACTTTCGACTCTCCATTGACGCCTTGATTTATTGCATTACACCCGATACTGACACTTACACTGGGAACAAGAGCGAGCCACGGGAGCCAGCCACCGAAGGGGTGAATTTTATTTACTTTTAGCGAATCGATCGACCACGAGAGACGGAGGATAGGCGCCGGGTCAAGGGGTGGAAAAGGAGAGAGAGAACGAGAGGCTGACGGAGAGAAGGAGGTTGCTGGGTCGCAGGCAACCCCGGCAGAGCGAACCGAAGAGTTACGTGGCCTCGCTACCCGGCCGGCCTTTCGCTTCCCTAACGTTATATCATCATCTACTTCCTTCGAGGCCGTGAATTTACGCCGACAAATCGGCCCGAACATCGCCACCGATTTTCTCCATCCTCCTCTCGCTCCAACCCATTCTCCCACTTTCCGCCACGGTTTCACGGTTCGCCGCCTCTTGCACTCTACAGCTGAATTACTATAATACAATGCTCCTTTCCAAGTAATATTCCTATCTTTGTCGATGTTTTCGAGGGACCCTTCGATCTGTCCTCGCGTTTCCCTCCGTCGTGCCACCTCCACTCCCAGTTTTGCAGGATGAATCCCGCTTTGTCTTGGAAATATCCGGCGTTCGGATCGCGACGCGGAGAACAACGAAACTCGATCGACGATATTCTAGAAGCTGACGTACACTACTCGAAGTTATAGATATTCCCCGTCGACCTTTCCGAGAAGATTCGACGGGAAACATCTCCCCTGTCCCTTTCTGTCTATCTCGTGATTCCGTCGAGCTCACCAAGAACGCGCATTACGAGCCTCTTCAAATCGAAACAATCCGTGGAATGACATTAAAGCTGGCAGCTCAGAAGATCCCGTTAAACTTTGAAACACCGTTTAGCCCGTTTATTCAAGCAGCCCTAAAAAACTGCTCCACAAATTCGCTGACCGAAAATAACCCGACGTTTTCGTGGTACGTACGCTCGATCAAGCCCGATGAAAGTCTACCCTCGCTCTATGCAATACCAACACCCACTCACTCTCTCTCTTTCGCACCTTTGATCGCAACGGTGATTTCCCAACTTTCGGCAACTTCTGTTCGCAAACGCTGTTTCCATCGGTATCACTCGAATTCGCGTATAATTCGCACGAGTTTCCAACGCGTTAGATAACTACCCGCGTCCACGAATGACTTTATCCAGCCTGAACGCCGATCAAATGTTCCAGAAACTCTGCTACGTTTTTACTTTTCGCTCCAACGTTATCTTTGAATCCTATCCTATCAAGCAACCAGACGAGCGTTGAAGCGAATTAAATTCGCGTTATTCCAGTTAATGTTATGCTCGATTATAAGTATATTTTACTTCATGGAATGTTTGAAAAGAAAATAAGGAGCTTGTCGACTTGAACCAAAAATGGCTAGAATATCGCGTTTGCTTTACGGCAATGCACGCTTCTTTATGATTTCACCTCGGGACGTAGCGCACCCTCCTTCCGTTCTTCTTTCTCTCAGATTTTACAGAGCAGCGGAAGCCTCTGACCACACCCTTGCCAAATGGGAATATAATTTCGCGGAAACTGGGTCGAACTTTCGCGCAACCCGCGACGCGTTTTTTTCTTTTTCCTTGTTTTACGGCGGGACACTTCGTTTCGTCGTTTGTATCCACGCTACGACCCTACATGCTCTCTTCTTTTTTGAGAACGTGCCTTTCCATTTTATTCTAAACTCCGCGAAAGCATTTAGCTGTGCGGTACGAGGTGAACCTGATCCAACGACGAGTGCGAAAGAGAAAGCAGTCAAATACATTCACAGCCGGTGGAAATAAAATAATTATATTCGATTCGAAGTTGCCAGGGCTTGAGATTTAGGGTGCTAATTCAAGCGCGCGGTATCGTTCCTTGCAATCGTATTCAAGGGTCGGGAGCAACATGCGGGGGAGTGGGTGCCGCGATTTCGCGAAACGGGAGGATCGCATCCAAGTTCGAATTTTGCAGCAGAGGCTGGGCTTTGTTGCCTTTTAAAATGTCCCAGTAATATCCCATTCCCTGTGCGTACAACGCTCGCTGTATCTCTTCCCATCTCCTCTCCCCCAATGCTATCCACTTTCACCCCCCTCACTCTTCCGTGTTTTTTCTCGTTGTAATTCCATTCGAAATGGGAAAAAATTCGCGGCGCGGTGCCCGAGTTAGAACGGCTCGATTGAAAATGAAAATATTGATGCCTCACTGCAGAAAGACAGATACATACTCGTATTGACTTGTACTCAATTTTCGCGGACATGCATTAATTTGTACGACCGCAAATAATCATCAGTCTACGTTCGAATATTCCGTATTCTGAAATTCCGAATTTTACTCGCGAGATCAGCGAGGTGGGCGCACATAATACGTTCGGAACGTGCATATCTGAGTAAATTTGCTCATCGTCATGTTCTATCCATTCACGATCCAACAAAGTTTGTTAATCAATCTCATATGTGCTGGGAGTTTCTTGCCGCGACGGTAAAAACCAACGAAAAATCGTATAACTGTCCTGCGTGGGATTGAAACTGGAATGAGAACCGGGCGACCCACCATATTTTCCTTCTCTATTTTTTTATCATCGATGCGCGGGAACAATACACGGTACCGAAACAGGGAAATAGGAACGATGCTGATACGACTGGCAAAAATTGGGTTATTTCGCGTTTTCCTGTTCGGTTCGTTTTCAGTTTTACACGTGGCGTATCGATGCCGCGAGCAACTTCATCGAAATGATACGATTAAAATCGGAGGATTACGGGACAAGAACGCGAGGGAGGTTCGCGCGGTAAGAAGGAGGAACAAAGAGGTAAAGGGTACGAGATAAATTGGAGATTGCGTAACGGAGGAGTTAAAACCATGGTTACATCTTCTCTCCGAGGTTATTTCGCGTCGCGTCGTGGAAAATGTAGCCGCGGTGAGCAAATTAAAATACACGCTCGGATTACGAGACACCGGGTCAGGAGGATTTCGAGCATTAGGCAAATGCCGGTACGCGAGAGGACGCATTGACGTTCGCGGCCGACCCAGCGAGCAAAAAGGGTAGAGGCAGCTAACACTGAGACGGGGAACAACCCGAGAACAAGCGGGAGCTTTCGTGTTGCCTTTGTCCCGAAATTATTCAAGGAACCCGACGGCTTTTTCAACGCGGCGCCCCCTTAATCCTGTATCTTTAAGACGAGATTACACGGGATCCTCGTTCCTGTAGTCGTTTAATATCGTGCTACCGCCCTCGCGAAATTAAAATTTGACCGACTAACAGAGCTTTCACTGGAACATCGACGCATAGCCACCGCGTTGTATCTACTCGGGAAAGTCGGTGTAACAGCAGCTGTGCGATCCGTTTAAGAAAGGATTTTCTTAACAGAAAGAACGACCGAAGTAATGAAACCTCTCGGATATCGAATGAACCAAAAACCTGTCGCATTCATTCTTATAGTGCTTATCGAATTCTTGGATTGTCCACTCTTACTAAATAAATTGCGTATTACGAACATGTATATAAGCATTATTTTTACTCTTTATAATGCAAAATGCTGTTGTATGGCACGCTTATAAAAAGTAAACTGCTCTACTATTTCATTTTCCCCAACCACTTTCCTTGAAATCCTTTTATCAGATTAGAGCTATGTTGTAATTGATTGTTAGGAGCACCGACAGAAAATTTCACTTTCTCAAAGTTCTCTTTTTTCAAAGTTAATCTCGCGTGTTTCACGTAGGACTAACGCGGCAGTACGCGAGACGGCGCAGGTGCAAGTTAGGAAAGCTTAGATCGCTTTCGACAAATCCTCTCGGTCGTTAATTATGAGGCGGGTATTAACGCGACCATTAATCACCAGTGCGACGATCTAAAAGCACGTTTGCCGGAGTAGCGTACCGCGGCGGCGAGTCTTACGCGCTACGCGTTTTCGTATCGACCGGTCGCGGTAAATTTCTTCGCGGGGGCTAATGGCATTATATTCCCTCGCGCGCCATTTAATTTGCGTGGCCCGCGTGTCCACGGCGCCTGGCTATATCCCGCGGAAATCGATAGCTTTAACGATGCGTGCCTTACATTTATCTCCCCGTTTCCGTTGTCCCTTGTTCGTTGTCCCCGGAAAATCACCGACGAGCGCAATCTCTTCTCGCAAACGCGTAAAACCCGTCCTCGGACCAAGTCACGTTTCGCGACACAACCGTGGAACATCGATCGCGAGCGCATGAATATTTTAACGCTAGCGTTTACATCGTTCGCAGTTCCAGCGGACAAAAACCTACCGCGTGTTTTATCGCGATGAACCACAACAATAGCTTCAAACGTAGTCATCCGCGTTTTTACTCGAAGCTTGCCTTGAGACGTGGGCGTTCTTTATCAGCCGGCGAGCGGCGAAAACACGTGTATGTAAATAAACGCGCCCTGGTTCTCGACGAATGTTACCCGCAGTGACACATGCGCCCTGAAATATCGTATATGCACGGTGAACGCGCGAGCATCGGAGAATTATCAATGGAGCCACTTGCTCAGAAAGGAATTCTTGTCGGAGATACTAAACCGACCGCTAGCTCGACGCCGCAATAACCCTTGCGAACATCGTAGACCACCAAGAATGTCGAGAAGGGTGAACCGAACGAGAAAAATGACTCGCATACCTGGTAGTCGTGTGTCGTCTCAATCTGCTCGCAGGACCCTCGTTGCCCCTGGACGAGGCGCGTCGTCGTCGCGTCGCAGGAATCGCGTCATCAGTAGTAAAATCCATGGTTGTCGCGCCGAGGGATCCGAGCATATCGTCACTGGAATACAACGTGAAAAACCACACACTACATCAACATTGCTCAACGAGCCACGATCGGGGTTGTTGAACCAGCAGCCAGACACCGGCACGCCAGACGATATACGTATAATCCGCGATACACATGTGTGTATTACAGGTCACGTCCGAGCCTACCGTCTTCGGTGACCGACACCCAGGTACGATACAATCGCGCGGAATGGGCAAACTGTCACACGTGTTACGTAGTTAACCACCGTCCACTGTATCCGCTATTATCACTCACTGTACGCGTTGCGGGCACACTGTTCGCGTCGTATCAACACGCAGCCGGTTGTCCGCGACGTAATCCATCCACATCGAGAGGTGTTAATTGCAGAGAGAAGTAGAAGCCGATCTTCAGGGTTGTCGCGTAGCAGGTATCACTGCGACGTCATCGTCCCAGGAGCGAAACACCAGTCTATCTCATCGGAGCGGCGAGGACGATGGCACGGGGCTCATACTGTCAGGAGGAAACGATCAAGACGATGTCGAGCGACCTCGACGGTCCACGTCCGTGCAGCATCACGGCATCCGTGTCAAGGAACGATCGCACACTCGCGTGTCTCGTCCAGGTCGTGGATCGAAACGTCGCCTCGGAGGGTGAAAACACGTTCCGGGAACGGAGACCAAATATCGCGACGGGATTAAACGCGAAGGGCACCACGCGTCGCGTTTCTCTTTCCACGTTCCGGTGCTCCTCTCGCTACCGCGATCACTATCGTTCGTTTCGGAGGTGGGAAACGGCACGTAAACGATGGGCGAGCTTGACGCAAGTCACCCGACATCCGACTCGCGCGAGAGTTGGTACGAAACTACTGGCGAGTTCTCCGACGAGCGTACTTGCATCCCCACCACCCGGCACATCGGATCTCCCACCGGCGACCTCGCGTAGGGCACACGCGCTCCTTATCCCCTCTTTCTAATGGGCACGCACCGAGCTACCCGGAGCGTGACACACGCTCACGCTTCTGGTGGGGGCTACGGTCGCGTGGCGAGCTGCCGCCGCGGTGGGGGGCCAGAGAGGGCAAAGGAGTACACGGGATCCGTGAACGAAAAGGGTAGCGCGACGCGACAGGGATGGAAAAGAGAAACGAGATGCGCTCGCCGTGTAGCTCGCGCAGGCGCGATCCTCTCCTGCGGGAATGTGTATCCTCATGAAATGCACGCTAAGTATATGTATACGTTACGTACGTATGTCGCAGTAACGAAGGCCGGGAGTGCAGAGACCTGTACGGTCTACCTTCTACCGATCGCGTACAGGGTTTAAATTTAAATACGATTCTATATTTGCGATTCACGTCAACTTTTCAAGTTGAAAGGACAGTCACGAAATAATGCAGCCGCGAAGTATAATTTGATTTCTAGTGGTGTCATGCAACGGAGAACTGTCAAATCTGATTTAGACACATGTAACAGTTCTGATAATTCTATATTTAAACAATGCTTATATCTCTTGAAAGAGGATCAAAGAGCACGTTTCGTAGAGAAATGTACTGATTTTCATAAGAGTCCCTTTATCTAAGCCCAAGGGGCTTCTTATGAAAATCACAGCACAGCGCGGCGGATTGTAGCGTCCGCTGGTCGGACATTATGGAATGTCAAACAGGCCGGGTTAGGCAGAAGTTTGCTCGTATAATAGTGGAACCTTGAGCGAAGATATGTCTTTAAAGCTTAGGTTTCGCTCTGCCGAAGGGTAAACGTTTACCATCGACAAATATTTGCCGGGGTTCGCGGGGGTTACTTCCGTCGGCCTGTGGCATCCTGTTCGCAAGGATTGGATCGTCATTAAATTTTGTATCACAAGTCCGATGGCTCGCAACTTAAAATCCTGCGTGATGCTGCGAACTCCGCACTTTTCGATAGAAATATAGGTAAAACGGCTGCGTAAGGGGAACACGACGGCGCGGGGCGACGACGATGACGGTGGGACTAGTGGGATGCTCTTCAGCGACAGCGGCGACGATGATAACGAGAGTTACGCCGACGTTACGCGCTGTCTGAAGGGAATGTCGTCTCGTAACCTGGGAGAACTCGACGTTGAATATTTTACATTCATACGCGACAGCGAGGATAGACAACGCCCGGACGAAGGAACAGGTTTCAAACAGGAAGAAGACGGTTCTCAGATACAAACAGTGACGTTGCTCGCTTTACGTATATATGTATATTTAATTTATAAGAAGGAAATGAAGGAAACGGCGAAGCGAAACGGTCGTCGAAGTTTCAAAGTTCGTCGGAGGAATTAATCGAGATTTCTTTTTAAATTATTTAAGCAGAAACGTTGACCGACATCGAACGATGGAAGGCTGCGGATGGAGGGAATAAGGGTCACGGCAATTCGTATCGATACGGCTTAATCCGGTCTGAGAAAGTGACCAGGTTCGAGGCAAGCCGAAACAAATTCCACGACGTTAAAGGAGAACACGGTAGTGACGTTTCGTTTGACGTAACCAACGGCGATAACGAGGAACGGGTAGCGGAGGGTCACGTGTTTCCTCAAGAGGATATTAATCCGTAATGATGCACTCAGCTCGGTGGATCTTCCAAGTTTGCGCACTCTGATGTAGAGAGAGAGAGAGAGAGAGAGAGAGAGGTATCAGGACGAGGCAGGTGGAGGAGCGTAGCTGCGCGACAGGGGAACCGAACTTGCAACTCTGCTTCCAGTTTTCATTGAAATTCAGCCTCATGAATACTGTCCATACGCTCGATCAAAGCAGCGAATGCCGCATAGACCGACAGGAAACACACAATTAAAATATTATCAGAAAGATACTTATAGACGGATAGCTGCTAATTTGATATCTGTTGGAAATTTGTCTTGTTAAACAGGCTATAATGCTAATTAGAGAGCTATAGATCTATTATACATAGCACTATCAAAGAGTCACCGGGATGAATCCTGTTATTCACAGAAACTGATTACCTTTTAACTATCTCGTAAACTATTGATTCATAGTCCGGGCGCTCGTAACACAAAAAATGGAACAATTTTTTACAGTCTGCCATTGATAGGGGAAATATTTACAGCCACAAGCTGTAGATAGATGTACTTAAAAATCTTCGTTACGTGTTAATGCATACTTAAACATTAACTTTAGTTAGTAAAAAGAACGTAGTTTCTTGAAACAATTTTCAAACAGTCTGCCTTGTGAAATTTCGTCAACTTTATCAGATTCGAATGGAAACACTTCAGTTACTTCAGATTCCACGATAGAATGGTTAGACACGAGCATATTCCTTCTCGGGGCATAACTTTTACTAAAAATTCGAACGAATGATCTACTTCCCTTGTTTTCGTATGATCCGAGCGAAGCGTCTGTCCATTGGATCCTACGCGATCGTAAAAATGTATGGGACGAAGGAAAATGGAAACACGAGAGAGAGAGGTCAAGTCCCGATATTCTCTCGAGCTCGCTCTTTTTGCCACGGAACCGACCGGTGAGAACCGTCAGCTCTCGGCGACAAGGGTCTCGCCTCCCGCTCTAACTTCGCCTCTTACCGGCTGCAGGGATACCCCGGCAAATCCTCGGACACGAGATTAAGCGGGACTGCGGCTTAATTGATTTTCTAATGTGCCGCATTAATGGATTGATCCGACGCGACGACCTCGAAGTTTGCTATTGTCGCGCGTTCGACCAAACGGGAATATCGACCGTTCACTTAACCGTCCACGCACTCTCCGTCCTACCTGTAGAAGTCGTTCGTCCCCGTCGAGATTATCGTTTACAGTGTCGCGAAATCGATTAAGAAGTAGAGTAATTACTCAAGAGCAACGGTTATTCCAATAAGGAAGATGTCTTATTACAATATACCTGTTTACGATACATATCCAATTTTGAGTTTCGCGAAGGATTGCTTCGAGAATAGAAGCCCAACATCAGACAAGAGTAACATTGTCTCATGGTTTTTCCGTTGCGAATATCGAAGAATATTCCCCTTGAACGCGTTCCGTAAAGTAGCCAAGATTCCTCCTCGAGAACTCCTCTCTTGTTTTATTCCAGAAATCATGTTTCCTCGCGGAAAAATATCGCGGATTCAGCTCAGCCCGGCTTACCCTTAAATATTACAGAAACTTCGAGCGGCGAGGTTCCCGTTGGCTTAATGGCAGTTTCTCGACGCTCGAAACGTTTTGTGCAGTTTAAATTTTCAAATCGCTTATTGTCCACCGCGACTTCTCGTTCCTAGTGTTTTCTTTCAAAACTGTAATCCCTCCCCTGCATCTCCATCGGTACCGCCCGATCGACTCTTTGATTCCGCTACCTCCGCCTTATATTTGTCTTTCCGCGTTTCGATCGAACACGGAGCAGTAAGTGGTCCCGCGCGACGCCATTAAGACCGATTGAAAGATCCCGCGAGCCCCGGGAGTGTGCTCGTTCCACGCCGTAACGTAACGTATGTAACGTGACTCGATACATTAGTACGTGCACCGTGTAGATCACGCGGAGATTTCATCGCTACAGCGAGAGTTCGTCGATCACTACCAGCACTTGTTTAAAGACTGATGCGCGATACGCCTGTACTTCGCGTGGTTTCGTTACGCGACGCGCGAAGAAAAGCAACACGCGAGATGTATGCACATGCCGCAACGATAACCGATGAGGGCGATGATAGAATTGAATTCCAGCGAATCGAATAAGTTTTAATAATCATTTATTAGTAATCTGGCAAATGAATAATAATTAATCGCGATATAAAATATTTGATTTATCGTAATAACAGGAGTTACGATTTAAAACGACAACTAATCATTATGATCGTCGTTAATGACGAGGCTCATGCGGTACGATGATGACGACCATTATCATCATCACGATAAAATTATGTTACTACATTTACGACAGGACGGTAGATCATTTCTGAAATCGTGACAGACGATGATGAATAGACTACCAATCAATTTTTACCGAGCTCCATAGAGCGGGGGGGATTGATAACGAAACAACAGAGAGCTTGTCGACGGTTCTCTTCAGCTACCGGTTCTTCCATCGAAAGAACACTTCCGCTCGTCCCGGCTGCTGCTTCTCTCGTCGCTCATCTTTTATTCAGCTTCCTTAACGGCAGCGTTCGCGGTTCTCATAAATTAATCGCGGCCCCGGTGTCACTACGGTGAACGTTATTTGTAACGTTCGCTCGGTTGTATATATACTGCACCAGTAGCGGCGGAGGCGGCGGCGACCGGGAGCAATCCCGGTGAAATATCGCGACGCGCCTATTAAAACGGCGGATTTATACCCGGACAGTACGTTACGGCCGGTGCTAGTCCTAAGCCAGATTTAAAACTACAACTTATCCACTCGGAGGGTATTCCCACGTAAATTTCCAAAGTCGGACAAATTCCAGGTCACGCTTCCGCGTCGTCTCGCTCTCGGCGAGAGGGTGGAACGTGGTCAGCCGTGTGCACCGTCTCCTCCGTGCGAAACGGATTTTTGCAGCACGCGTCTTCGAGATAAACTCCACCCGGTATTTGCCTGAGAGCCCGGCGGGCAAGAAACGCTGAGGGACGAAAAAACAGGTCGGACGTATTGCCGTCGGTGGCAGAACGCCAACAAACGGAAATTCGTCCGCGAGCGGAGAAGGCCGTAGGTAAATTGAATCCAATGCTGTCTCGCGAATAAGTAGAAAAGTATGTTTACGACTCGGCCGATGCCAACTCTATTGACTTTCATTTATATCTAAAGCCGAGTTTACACTGTCATCTCCGGGTGAACAATGCGTTTGACTAAACGGGCAAAGGAGAGGATTTAATTAAAATGTTCGTTCTTTGCGTTTAATTTTACCGAATGAACCAGGCCACGTCCGAT